TATATATATATATATATCAGGATATCAGGGGTGCCCAACCTTTTTTGATCAAAGACCTACTTTTTGATCAACCAAACTCCCGCGATCGACCCGTCACCACACTTTGACATGGATGCCCCTGATGAACAGAAAAAGTAAACTACACACAAAAGCAAATCACTGCCTACCTGAGTGGAGACCTGACGCAGAGGAATGGGACGCACTTTTGCAGCATGTTCACGACTATGGCTTACATGTATCATTTTTAAATGCTTCTCACGGCACTCCAGATTCCTATTCTTCACCTGTGCCCTCACTGAATTGTACATGAAACAAACTCTGACTGAGAATAATGAGAGAAATTGCAGACTGCTGACCGCGAACAACTTCCGGTGAGGCAGGTCATGTGCCGCCATAGGTTCAAGGCAATCTGCTTTTTAATTTACTTTTTTTTTTTTAAATACTTTTTGTGAAAGGGAAACTGATAGGATGCTCAGGGTGCAGCGTACGCTAACACAAAAATATATCATATTAATAATACGCACACAGACACACAAATGTTTTGGGTTGTTTTTTTTCCATCGACACCGCTCGTGATCGACTTGGGACCAGTCCGCGAGCTACCGGTCTATCGCGATCGACGTATTGGGCATCCCTGCATCCCTGCTTTCTCTCTCTCTCTCTCTCTTCGCTCTCTCTCTCTCTCTCTCTCTCTCTCTCTCTCTCTCTCTCTCTCTCTCTATATATATATATGTGTGTGTGTGTGTGTGTGTGTGTGTGTGTGTGTGTGTGTATGAAACCACTCATTTTCAATTAACTGGAAGGAAAGAGGCGAAATTCATTTCATTTGGAGAAACATTCGAACTTGGCTCTCATGGCAAATAAATAGCTTTCTTCCATTCCAGTTTATTTGCCTGAGTACAAGAGCAAACAAGCAAAGACAAAAGACAATGAATCCGATCCTCTGACATCCTCCTTTTTCAAGGAAGTAAGGATTTAACCCTTTCATGCACCTATAAGCCGATAAGCTGTCCACTGTAGTAACTAGTAACCACTGTCCCTGAAAGGGTTAAACAAAGGCATGATGGTAATTCCTGAGCTGTTTTATTCATGGCACAAAAGAGAGATCAGGAAAATGTCGTGATTTTTTTTTTTTTTTATGTTAATGAGGTGTCTGTTTTCTTACACACCATCGTTTTCCGCAGGACAGCGTCGACCTATCTGTCTGTCTTGTTCTACCTGTCTAATCCTTTTTCCACCAAGTAAGAGTAAATGTTTTTGACTGAACAGTGCAAGTTTTGTCAATCAACTTACTCTGAATTTTTGTGGATGGGCTTCACCATGGAAATGTGAGTAGATCTAAGCCCCCCGCAGAAGTTTTCAGAAGTAGGTTCAGCAGAGACACCTTTCTTTGCTTTCAACCTTTGATGGACCTCCACGGCGACCTTGTGGAAACGACTGGGACCTTCATTGATGACACTGAAGCGGCGGTGACACAGCCCTGGTGGTGTACATCCCAAGCTGCTGTTGTACCCTATTGCATCCTGTAGTTTGTCAATCTGGGACATCTTGGCATCGAGCTCCCTCTGCAGATGCTGCAACTTAAGTTCTTGAGCTTCTAATGCTTGGTCCCTCTGTGCCAACTCCACCTCCAGGTAGTTTATTCGCATCCTGAAATGGAGCAATTTTGATTACTTAGTGGAATGCACACATTTTAGCGATACTCTGCATGAAAATACGTTATGTTGTGTGCGTGTGGAAACCACCACTAATCCCTGAATAATGGGAAAGATTATTATTTTTTGCTCGCAGGATACCCCCTCTCATTGCAACTGCATTCCCGCATTATGTGGAAATGTTGGCTACCTCCCCCCCTCAAATGTAATCTGTAGCTATAGAAACGATAACTTGTACCTGTTGAAAATCAATTTCCAGTTGCAGAAAAAAATTGACTTGTAGGTGTAGGAAATAATGTTGTAGGTGAAAAATAACTTCTGGGAAATGAAACAATTTGTAGCTGTAGCTGTGGTCGACTGGTTAGCACAGGGGTTGGCAACCCAAAATGTTTTTTAAAAAACCAATAAAAAAAAAAAAAAAAAACAAAAAAAAAAAAAAAAAATGCCGGGAGCCGCAAAAAAAAAAAAATAAAAGACTTCTATAAAACTTACAATGAAGGAAACACATGCTGTTTGTATGCTGTCCCAGAATTGTTTGTTATTCATTCCTTTGTTGTGTGTTCACAAACGCCCCCATAGAATTTATTTAGGGATTTCCTCGCTTGATTTTTTGTTTTGGTGCATTATTTCCTCTTTTCTTAGCGTCAGTGAAGTGATCATGAATTTCCGTTTTTCGGAGGCTGTCTTTGAACGCCTCTCGAGTCGAACGAGAAGAGAGAAGGCACGCAGTCGGACACCGACGTGTCTGTGTTTGTCGAGACTGTTAAAAGCATAAATAAAGTGTACGTTAAAAAAAACCAACACCACAGCTCTCCTTTTTCGGAGTTGCAACATGTATCTATATCTATTTGAGCTATATTAGCCTACTATCAAAATCTTTTTCCATTTTCAAACGTTTTAAAAAGCTCTAGGGAGCCACTAGATGTCGCTAAAGAGCCGCATGCGGCTCTGGAGCCGCGTGTTGCCGACCGCCTCACAGTCGTGGGGTCGAATCCAGGCCCAGTCTTCCTGTGTAGAATTTGCATGTTCTCCCCGTGGCTGCATTGGCTTTCTCCGGGTACTCCAGTTTCCTTCCACATTCCAAAAACATGCATGACAGGTGGATTTGATGCTCTAAATTGTCCCTAGGTGTGAGTGTGTGAATGGTTGTTTGTGTGCCCTGCTACCCGAAGACAGCTGGGATAGGCTCCGGCACGCCAGTGACCCTGGTGCGTTTTTAAGCGGTTTCAGATCATGGATGGATGGATAAATTTAATCAATTCAATGATTTTTTATTTTATCTCAATTTAATTGTTTTTCTCTTTTTATATAGGAAAAAAAAACCTAACATTTTCAACACTGACTGAAATGAATGATTGGCTTCAATGAGAAACTGTTGTCAGTTGGTTTCATAATTACTTACAGACAGTATGGAAAATGGATAGAGGCATGGATGGATGGATGGATGGATGGATCGATGGATGGATGGATGGATGGAAGGATGGACTGATAGATGACGTTATTATTGTGTATCAGTATGGTATGACAGACTGCAGAGCCCACTTCATGAAGCAAGTACGATTGTCAAGACACACACAATGAAATAAAGACAAAAGACTGCTGGAAATAAATTATTTCAACTTCATTTAAGTTGTAAATGTCGGTCCTTATTTTTGATGGTGTTTGCGCCTTCAGAGAAGGCCTTTTAGGCCCTGACGGAACATCGTTGCACTTGACACTTTCAAGGAAGATTAAACACTGTTAAGTCAGCAACATTTAGGCAGCTACCAAGGCTCTTCCCATTCGTGTTCTTATTTGAAACATATTCACATCACTTCCACTGTGCTACTTAGCCGACTGACGCTAAATTCCCAATCGCCACAGAGCAACACGTACATTAAAGTTGAGCAACCGCGAACAATTACTTTACAGTAATCTGTTCTGTGCAAATCATTGTTTTATGCTATATTTACACGGCATCCGAACTTCACTGGTTCTCGGATTTGTGATGTTCTTGAGTATTTTTTTTTTGTTTGTGTGTGTGTGTGTGCTAACCCGTCATCCACCGTGCCACCCAATTCTTAACTTTAATGAATTAATTTTTTAAATTTATGTTATGGCTGCAACACGTTCCAAAAAAGATGGGGGTGGCAAAAAAGACAAAGAAAGTTGAGTAATGCTCATCAAACACTTGATTGGAATATCCCAGAGGTGACCAGGCTAACTGGCAACAGGTGGGTGCCATGACAGGAGCTTCCCTGAACTGGTGGTCAGTATTTCACAAGCCAAGATGGGGCGGTGTTCACCTCTTTTTGAACAAATAGTCGAACAGTTTAAGGACAATGTTCCTCAACGTACAACTGCAAGGAATTTAAGGATTTCATCATCTACAGTCCATAATAGCAAAAAAGTCCAGAGATTCTGGTTAAATAAGATATAAGATATCCTTTTTATTTGTCCCACACTGCATTTAAGCAGCAAGGCCGAAAAACAACACTGAATGCCCTTGACTTTCGATCCCTCAGGCGTCACTGCATTAAAAACCGACATCCGTGTGTAATGGATGTCACCACATGGGCTCAGGAACACTTCAGAAAACTAATGTCTGTCAATACATGTTGGTACTACATCTCTAAGTGCAATTTAAAATTCCACTATGCAAAACAAAAAAAAACCCCAACAAATTGTTTTGGGAAATTGTGGAGGTGGAGTCCTCCAAGCCAAAGAGGAAAAGACTCATCCGGACTGTTTGCGCATAAACTTCAAAAACCAACATTTGTGATGCAATGGGGGTAACTTAAACGTCTGTGAAGGCACCATTGATGCTGAAAGGTACATCTAGGTATTGGAAAAACATATGCTGCCATCCAAGCAACTTCTTTTTCATGGACACTCCTGCTTATTTCAGCAAGACAACGCCAAACCACATTCTGTGTTACAAAAGTGTGGCTGCATAGTAAAATGAGTACGGGTATCAGACTGGTCTGGCTGCTGTCCAGACCTGTCTCCCAGTGAAAACGTGTGGCACACTATGAAGTGTAAAATACCACAAAGGAGACCCCGCGCTGTTGAATAGCTTAAGCATCAAGCAAGAATAGGAAAGATTTTCGCTGACAAAGCTACAACAATTAGTGTCCTCAGTTCCCAGTATTTACTGAATGTTGTTAAAAGAAAAGGTTATGTAACACAGTGGTAAACATGATCTTGTTGCAGCTTTTTTGGAACGTGTTGCAGCCATAAAATTCAAGTCAAAAGTTCATGATTCGTTGCTAAAACTTTTTAATGTTTTTATTTAATGTTCAAACTCAGTTTGAACATTAAATATCTTTTCTTTGAATTATATTCAGTTAAATATAGGTTGAATATGATTTGCAAATCATTGTTTTCTGTTTTTATATATGTTCAGCACAATGTCCCAACTTCATTGGAATTGGTGCTCCCTCATTCTGTTCAGTGATTCGGGCAACCAGCTCACGACTTGCTCCTCATCGCATATCATGTGAGCACCACACCTGTCATGACGCTCCAACTATTTATTGTGAATAAAAATCATCTTAAACTGTATTTTATTTCCTTTATTGTACATGTTTTCAATTCAATAAAATGAATTTTCAGTCATTATTTACGTGGTATATACAGTCAAACCTCGGTTTTCGAACGTCTCGATTCTCGTCCAATTCGATTCTCGAACAAAAATTTCAAGTTTTTTATGCCTCAGATGACGAACAAATTTCGGTTCTCGAACTAACTGAGCGCACTTGAATGCGTCACTTCACTCCTCTCGGCTTCACTTCCTGTGTAGCGTCCATTGTGAGCAGACATTTTTGTATTGTTCAATAAAAAAAAGCAGACGTGTTTCGTGAGACGCTTCCTCGTGTAGCGTCCATTGTGAGCAGACGAGTTTGTATTGTTCAATAAAAAAAAAAGCAGACGTGTTTGGTGAGACGCTTCTGTTAGGGCGAGTTAAACCCCCCTCTTTTCAGAATGGTTTGCCCCAGCAGGATGGGGGAAGTGGTGCGTTTGTTTTCGGCTGGCAGTTTTCAATACAGCGGCACATAATCAGCACTCTGGTGTCCGGTGTCTCATTATTATGCAATAATCATACAGAAACAGCTTCCTCGTGTAGCGTCCATTGTGAGCAGACGAGTTTGTATTGTTCAATAAAGATTTTTTTTTTAAAAAAAGCAGACATGTTTGGTGAGAACTACGTAATATCGGACTGTTATTTTTGCATCGTGTATCAGCCCCAAATCATGGCACCAAATGAAGCAAGTGGAAGTGGTAAACCTGGTGAAGAAAAGAGGAAAATAGTGCGCAAAACTATAGAATTTAAGAAAGATTTGATCGCGAAATATGAGTCAGGTGTGCGTGTGTCTGTGTTGGCGAAGGAGTTCGGGATGCCGAAATGCCCCGCCTACTGCCTGATGACAGCTGGGATAGGTGCACGCCCCACGACAGATAGAGAGAGAGAGAGAGAGAGAGAGAGAGAGAGAGACGTTCCTTCAATTTTTATGTTAGTATGTTAATGTTAAAATTGGTGAAAATAAAACATATTTCAGTTTGTTTGTACAGTATTTTACATATTACCTGCTCTCCTGTTACATTTGTACAGTTTATGGTGTGAAATTGTAAAAAAAAGTGGTTTAAAAAAGTTGCTTTCTTGACTTGGAACGGATTAAAAATGTTTACATTGATTCCAATGGGAAACATGGTTTCGGTTTTCAAACAATTCGGTTTTCGAACAGTCTTCTGGAACGGATTAAGTACGAAAACCGAGGTTTGACTGTAGTTATTATACTACCTGTATTGCTTTGATGTTTGCAGATGCGCTGTTGCTCGCTTCCATCATTTTGTTTTCCTGCTCACAATGCATTGTGGGCTATATTCAGCTGCTGGGTGACCATTAATGCTCACTACTTTTCAAAGTGCATTTTTGGTCATTTTGAATGCAATACATCGTTCTCTCTGGACAATCGGAAATCTTTCAAAATGGCGTGTCCCAAATAGTGGGGTGCGCCCCGCCTGGGGGGGAGTGCGATGCCAGGTGGGGCGCGCGTAACTCTGGGGAATACGCTGTAGGTTTTTTTTTTGCCGAAGAAAATGGAATAAAGTGTAATTGCATGTCCACTACAGCAGTTGACTTTTAGCTCTATGGAGGGGTTTGTTGTTGTTGCACCAAGCAGGCAATATGAAGTGCGGTAAATAAAGCCTCAGGAGACAACATTATTATTATCATTATTTTTAGCAGGAATGAAAAGAAAGGCGCAGGGGGACGAAGAAAGTCACCCAAAAGCTAAGACAAGGAAATCTGACGAAGCGTATGTAGTGCTTGGCTTCACTGTGACTACAGTGCGAGGAAAGACCGGTGTGTTAACTGTGTCTTCAAATGCTGGTTGCGGACAGCATGAAGCCAAATAAATCAAGGCGCCACTTAAAGACATAACACCTGAATCATGCTGATAAGCCGCTGGAAAAGTTGTGCACTGCAAAACACGCACATCATAGCCATCAATCCTGACTTCCACATTTTGATTAAAAAAAAAAAAACGTTTTGTAAACTAAAGTGTTTTACATATTGTGCTCCTGATTAATGTTGCTTAACGGAATTGGAATTTGACATTATTTATTGATATTACATGAATCCAGTGGCGGACCCTGAGGGCCAGCAAGGCCTTCACTGCTGGCCTAAACATTCTCAGAAAAGTAAATTTACTTTTATGTATTTTATGTTATTTTATTTTCATAAATATGTAAACAAAATTATTCTCTGTATTCTTTACATCATATTATTTCCACTTAGTTGAGTGGCTGTTATTTTAAATAACATTGAAAGCCACTCGATAAATAACTTATTTATTATGGTAGAGTTTTTAACCAATCATATTTCAGCTAGCTTG